CAATACCATATGTCTAGGAGAAGCCCTTAGCCACCAACCTGGTTTTATACCTTTCCACTAAACCATCAACATGATGCTTCGCTACAAACACCACCTTGCACCCCACAAGTTTTTCCCTTCAAGAAGGTCAACCAAATCCCATGTGCAATTCTTACAAAGAGCATCAATTTCCTATAACATTGCATTCTTCCACTCAGGAGAGTTTAGGACCACTGCAACAGACTTAGGAACAAAATATAGAAGAAAGAAAGCAACAATGAGAAGGAGACAAGTTGCTACAAGTGGTGAAATGGCTAATAGGATGCTAAGTAGTGCACAATGTTTAAAATTTCAGTCGCCCAAATATAAGAAACATGTTGGAAATGTCAAAAATATCATATGGAAATATTGTAAAAATTGTAGACGTGGTGAAAACATTGTAAATATGCAAAATATAGAATGATATTTTATGAAATGATAAAAGAAGAATAGGTTTGTAAACAAAGCTAAGAAACTAAGTTTGTAAACAAAAGAATACATTCAGAAGTTGCCTTGTAAACCTTAGGATTCGGAGCTTCATGATAGAATGAGTTAAAGAAAATTTTCAACTCACAAAAAATGTAAATGGTTGTAATAAATCAACTAAATAATCTATTAGACAAAGATAAACTAATATTTAACTTCATGCTTGAAATGAATATTAGCTAGCTCAAAGTGGTAATCATGTAAGCTAGGTGAACAATAACATTGTTACCCCACATATCTACAATATTATCACCAATTTATTTTATAATACTATCTCTTCCACTCTATATAGTGCTAGTAGTGTTCACTAGGGAATATGTATGTCATGGAAACTATCTCTTGTACTCCGCATAGTGATAGTAGTGTTCATTGGGGAATATGCCAGTTCGAGTAAAATTTAGTGTTGCTACCCATGGAAATATTAGAAAATTAGGGACATTTTAAACCATGGTAGTGCATGAATGACTACCTTTACGAATAGCAATAGGGAGATCAAGATCACAATTACGGTGACTTAAGGAAACATTACCTAGTTCAACAGGACATGCAATACTCTTCAGGTTTACCTCCTGAGAGTCCACTGGCTTAGGAGATGCAGTCTCAAGTACGTCTTCACCTAGTGATTTCTGTTGCTCCTACTAACAATGTGTAGGACGAGAACAAGATCTAGGCCGAGTGTAAACACATTGAACAAGGGCACAAACACGAGAATGATGAGAAGCAACAAACGGAATAGGAGAAACAACAAATGGAACAGGAATAGAAAGAACAAGAACATTCTTCTCCTCCAGAGTACTATTATCCCCTTAAGAAGCAAGAGAGAATGATTGAGACTCAACAAAGGATACATCCATAGAAATGAATGTACACCATGAAATGGAACACAGGTCAAGTTTACAACGAGATGGTGACAAATCCTAGATGAAACATCAGCAACCAAAAATATGAACAGGGATAGAGAACAATGGGGACTTGGGAAACAAAAGTTGATGTGGGGCCTTGAACTTAAGACTACGTGTGGGATTAGAGTTAGTTAATGGTTCCTGATAAGTAAATTTTTGTAAGGGAAGATGGAAAACTTCATGAAGACTAGGAGATGGAGACTAGTGGTGAAAGTAGAAGCCAAGACTCTATTGTTAGAGAGCTTCAGAACTCAAGGTAAGCTCACCTTGAAGGTAAGGAGGATGAATATTTCGATGGTGTTGCTAGTGGGAAAATAAGCAATAGAATAGTTTTAGGGTTTGTGGGAGAAGCCTTATCTCAAAGAAGAAAAGTTACCTATAGGAGTACGAAGATTAAGAAAGAGAGTTTAAAGTTGAGAGAAAATCTAACGATAAAGATTCATGGAGAACCAGAGGAGGAAAGGTGAGGGATAGAAGGAGATACCAACAGTTCTTAGAGAGTTTTTAAAGTAGAACGGATAATAAGAAGCCCGAGTCTCTAATATAGAACTAGATGAGGAAATGGAGATGCAGAAGGCCCACAAAGATGTTTCAATGATGATTGGAAAGGGTATTCAGAGATGTAGGATTATTGTTAACAAAGGTTTGGAGGAGTGGAAAAAGAAGTGGGTGGTTCAACATAAGAAGCAACCACTAGATTGGAAGCTAGTAGTAGAAGCAGTTTGAAGGAGTCAAACTTATAAAGATCCATTATCCCCCTTTGAAAGATGTAAGGCGTTAATCGATTTACAGGATAATAAGAAAGACTTAGACATAGTAAGCATCAAATCTAGCTCTGGTTCTGTGACAATTTCAAAATGGTGCCCTATATCTAATTCAAAAGAGGCTGGTGTTGAAGATAACATTGGGCTACTGTTTCATTTGTGCAACAAAGAAATTTTTGAATCTTTGGCATCCATATAAAATGCCTGGTTGGTCGGTGTTTTTTCTTGTGATCTTCATTTAGCTGCCTTAAAGCTCAATGGTGTGAAACCAGAAAAATACCCAGAAAGATGGAGCTTGTGTCAAATGGTTTCTCAGCACCCCTTCAGGCATAGGAATGGTGTGAGAAACAAAGAAGGGAGTATCATTGCACTATTTTCTGGTCTTGTGGGATCAGTGATTTAAAAGACACACCTCAGGCGTGCCTAGGTGCACAGGCAAGGCACATTTTAAGGTAGGTGTCTCGCCTAGGTCTTAGGCGCATCCCTTTCAAAAGGCGCACACCTGGTGCGCCTAGGCATGCGCCTGGTACGCCTAGGTGTGCGCCTTGTCCCTCAACCCAGGCGTGCACCTTTTGAAAATTTGACGCTCTTTTGCTTTTTTTGAGTCTAGTGGCTGGGTCAGGGGCAGAGCCCCCAAACCCTAGTGCCACGACCCCCAAGGGAAGCCCAAACAAGTCCATGTTAGGGTCTTAAATTCTTAGTTCTCACACAAACAACCCCCTATTTAGTAATGTTGTTTGTTCATTAGTCCTAATAAAATATCTTCTTAAAAAGCAATTAAAACTATAAAATCATTATTTTTTGTGTGAGAACTAAGAATTTAAGACCCTAACATGGACTTGTTCGGGCTTACCACAAGGGGCGTGGCACAAAAGCGGCTCGTAGAATCAGGAATGTAATATGTTTTACATCACATGAGCTAGTTGAAGTAATGCAATTCAGAAAAAAATAAGTGATTGTGGGTTTTACAAGCTTGAAAACGTTTTATATGTTTGATTTTATTTTTAAATTCTCCTTTGAATATGCTTTACAAGTAAACCCACATGAGCTTAAAGAATTTACAAGAAGGCCCTTATAGGCCAAAAGGATTACAAGAAAGCCCTTGTAGGGGCTGAAAGAAAAAAATAAAGTAATAAAAGATACAATGCAGCACAGGCTACAATATTAGCCTACACCAATACTCTCCACACAGTTATCATCTAAAAACAGAAAAAAAAAAAAAACATATTAAATGAGACAATCTTAGGATGCTCATTAAAATCCACAACAGTAGAGCAGAATTACAGGAAACCAAAAGTATCTGGCACTGAACAGAGCAGAATGGCAGAACAGAGTTCATGTAGCCAGTAGCCAACAACATATAGTTAGGACAAGGCTTAGTTGAGTTGACTTGAGTACCTAAACTTGATAGAAATATGAGGGCCAGCCTTTGCTAAAACCTGAAGCAGTTTGTCCTGAAATGGGTTATCCTCTTCCAATAAAAATGCCTGAAACTGCTTCTCTGCTCCTCTTAGTAGTGATGGAAAAATGCTTAAAACAGTCTTCAGACAATGTGAAAGAACAAAGTAAGTGACAGAATTTTACAACTAAGAAATGTACTTATACAACAGCATTCACAGAAAAATGAAGCAACTGGTAAAAAATAGAAACTAAAATATAAATAGCTAGTTTCATTTTCAATTATAACAGTCAATAGGGTGGAATAAAAGATAAGTCACATGGCACATTAGTTGGTTGTATGGCATTATATCCATTACCTTCTCTTCTAATTTAACTCTAAAAAAACAATAATCATGCCAAGTAGAACATTAAACATGATGCTATCTTTGGTGTCAATAATCCAAGCTTTCCCCTGCTTGTCTCAGGCTCATGAACTAATTTCTGAGCTTAGGTTCAGCTCAGGCTCATTTTTGCTAAGCTTGGCCTAAAATTGTTTCATTTACTCAAAATTTTTCATATTATGTCTATTAAAATATATAGTACTAACATTTTAAATATATACAAAGTTGCACCTTAGCCCAGTTTTACTTGTTCAAAGTTTTCATCATTGTGAATTGTGTTCAGTCCTTTCAAAACCATTTTTTCGTTTCAGTCTCTCTTTAGGCCGTGTTCTTTTCCATGTAAAATAGGTAGAAGACAAATTTTGGCTTTAAAAGAAGCAGATATATAATTAAAATTTCATATGTTGAAAACTTTTCAGCTTATGTCATGGTGAAACAAACAAAACCATAATAGAAAAATATTAAAATTGGAAATCAGAAAACAATTACATGTAAATACCTAAGAAAAGCAGAGCATGTCAGAAACAATTTAAGCATCTAAGGAGGTGCAGGCTAAAGAAGGTGGTTGTTTGACACATGAGGAGGGAGATGGTAGTGAATGTATAGAAGGTAAGTAAACTGGAGTAGATTCTGAGCAGCTTTTATTTGGTTGATTGTACCCTATTCAAGCCCTAGGGAAGCAGAAAAAGGGAGATCAAGGCAGGAGTGGTAAAAGAAATCATAGGGAACAACAATGAAACATTGTTTGGGTGATGGTGAGAGCAGTGGAGGCTATTTTTCTTAACCAGAAACTGAACAGAGAATTTAAGTGATGCAAATAAAATTACATGACTACTCCCGGGTAAAGAAGCACAATTGAAAGAAGATTCCAGGTTGACTGTAGAGGAAGGTGCCAACTGGCTTTCTGGTAAGATCTCTAGATGGTTGTAGTGGAGACCTAGATTAGATTCCCACCTTCACCAGGGTTAGAGGGCGTTAGAGTTGGTCATGTAAGGGTAACTTAGTCTTTTCATTATAGTTTAAGTAGTGTAGTGATGTGGCAATTCTGTTTTGTTTTTTTATTTTTCTTGTCCCATACTTAAGTAGGGGTATATTTGACTTTGTACCCTTATTTTAATATAATAGGGATTATGGTCAGCTTTCTTCTTCTTCTTCTTTCTCTTTCTCTTTGAACAGGACTTATCTGAACCATTAAAACATGGTATCAGAGCCCTAAATAAAAGAGAGGAAAGCTGTGATCTCAAGTTCCTGGACCTGCGATCTCTTCTATTATTCTTTTCTCCTTTTATCTGGGGTGCAATCTGAGTTACACAGATAGAAGGCTGCGGCAACCCTTTTTTGGCAGTCCAGGACAGCCGCAATCCCCATTACAGGTGTTAGGAAGGTGCGGCAGCCCTAAGTGAGTAGTTCTCAGATTGCTGTCACCATGAGTGACAGCCCTAGTGGTTGTGTGGTGGTGTTTGTTGTGTTACAGACCCTCTACTGAGCAGTTTCAAGAGGGGGTTTTCTGTCTTTGAATGGTGATGTGAGAAATAGTGCGGTTAACAGTAGTGGTGTGAGCAACCAGTTTTTTATATGAAGGAGATGGTTGAATGTGCCTGAGTTTTTTTTTTTTGTGGTGGCTGGTTGAGAAAGTGCCATAAGGTGATGTGCAGATTGCAGCAGTGTTGATTGAATAGCAGAATTAGGTGTGCTGATGACATCAATTTAACTTAATGGTGAAAATTATGTGCCATGGGCCAAGTCGGTGGAGATTTTTCTCAAGGCCAAGAGGAAGATGAAACATGTGAAGGAGGATAAACCATCAGTCGACTCTCTAGGGATTGATGATTGGGAACAAGAGGATGCCCAAATTATGACATGGCTATGGAACAATATGGAACCCAAGATAAGTGTAAACTTTATGTTCTTAGATACAGCCAAGGAAATATGGGAACATGCCAAAAAAAGCTCTATTCAGGACAAGATAATACTACGAGAGTGTATCAACTCTATCAGGAGTATTTAATTTGCAGCAAGGAAATCAAACCCTTGAAGAGTATTATGCCAGTATGAGAAACCTCATAAATGAACTTAGTGTCTATCATCTCCTAACTTCAGATGTTAAAATTCAGCAACAACAAAGGGAGCAACTTGATGTAACAAGGTTCATAGTGGGGCTGAAATCAGAATATGAACCGGCTAGAGCACAAATATTGGGAGGTTCTGCTCTTCCTACACTTGAGGAGGTCTTTGCTCGACTTCGTAGGATTTCCTTCGAACCCACAGAGAGTACCACAACGTCTGACAAACAAGTGTTTGTTGTAGCGAGAAAAAGTGGGCGTGGCACTAGAGGGGGAGGACATACATTTCAAGGAGGCCGTAGTAGTCCCATGTTTTGGTCGTGGTGGTGGAAGTGGTGGAGGTCGTGACTTAGGGGGAGGCCATGGTAGAGGAAGAGAGCACACTATTCGAAAGTGTACAAATTGTGGCAAAGACGGACATACAATTAATTGCTGTTATGATCTACATGGCCCACCCTCTACATGGGCTAATCATGCAGTTGCTAGTGGTGGTGATGTGAGTGATAACCAATAGACAGATCAAACACCTTCCACATCTACATCTGCTTCCGAGAAGGAGATGATGAGTGTACCACGAGATGAGAATGAGAGGTTCCTTCAAGCCACTTCACAACACAACACTGCTACTCTTGCACACTCAGGTATGACCTGTCTGGCATCCAAACCTTCTCACTGGATTATTGATTCCGGAGCCTTTGATCACATGACCAGGACTCCATGTGTGTTTTCTTCCCTCTCTAAAACTTCCACATCATAAACTGTTACCCTGGCCTATGGTTCTTCTTCCCCCATTTGTGTTGTTAGTAACGTTGACACTGCATCGCTTTCTTTATCATTTGTTCTATATGTGCCTAAATTTCCATTCAACCTCATGTCTGTTAGTAAATTAACTAACGCCCTTAATTGCTCTATCACTTTTTACCCTTGATCTTGTGTTTTTCAGGATCTCAAGACGGGGAAGAAGATTCGTGGAGGGCATGAAGCCGGTGGATTGCATTATCTTGACAGTGGTGGATCTTCAGTTGCACTTCAAACTTCCTTTGACTCCTCTCCAATGGCATTGTCGGTTGGGACATCCATTTCTCAAGGCTCTCAAGCTACTAGTTACTTCTTTGAGTCATTTATCTTCTTTGTAGTGTGAGTCATGCCAGTATGGGAAACACCATCGGGTTTCCTTCAGTCTGGGGTTGATAGTCATATGTTGAGTCCTTTTGCTTTACTCCATTCAGATGTTTGGGGACCAATTAAAGTTGAGTCATATAACTGTTACAAGTATTTTGTCATTTTTATTGATGATTGTTCAAGGATGACATGGATTTATTTAATGAAAGAAATGAGTGAGTTGTTTTCTATTTTTCAAAAATTCCATGCTGAAATACGTACGCAATTGGTGTTCCAATAAAAGTTCTTCGTTCTGATAATGGTCGTGAATTATTTCTTACTTCCTTTCAACAATATTTGGAACATGGCATCATTCATCAGACTTCGTGTGCATCCACCCCTCAACAAAATGGGGTGGTTGAACGAAAGAACCACCATCTTCTTGAGACTACTTGGTCTATCCTTCATCATATGAACATTCTTAAACGTTTTCGGAGTGACACAATGCTTACAGCTTGTTTCTCATTAATCGGATGCCCTCCTTCATTCTTCATGGTCGTTCTCCCTTTTCTATTTTGTTTCCCACTTTGTCTCCCTTTCCATTAACTCCCAGGGTCTTTGGGTGTGTGTGCTTTGTTCATAATCTGGGCCCTAGTTTAGACAAGCAGGATGCACGTTCTATCAAGTGTATCTTTCTTAGCTATTCTTGGACCTAGAAAGGGTATAAGTGTTTACAATCCTATCACTCAGAAGTCATTTGTCAGGCCTAATGTCATCTTTTTTGAGTTTGTGTCATTCTTGGGCCCTGATGTACCGTCCTCTTCACCATTGATCCCTCTTCCTCTTCCGGTTGGTGATCCCATCCCAGTTGTTCCTGTTATGCCTAACCCTTCACCTCCTCCAATGCAGATTCCTACTGAATGACCACCGATCCGGCACGTGTATACTCATCGATAGACACCGGCACCTCCTCTGACTTCTACGTTGTCTGCGGATCTTGTAGTTGCTCCTGTCCCAGAGTTGCCTACCTCTTCTAAACTTGATCTCCCCACTGCATTATGGAAAGGTATATGTAGTTGTACCTTCCATCCCATTTCCAATTATGTTTGTCTCACCTTTCCACTTCACATCACTAGTTTGTTTCTTTGTTGTCCTCTATATCTATACCCAAGGATGTCCAGGAGGCTCTTACTTCACCGGGGTGGCATCAAACAATGGAAGAGGAAATTCTCTACTCTTCAACACAATCACACGTGGGAGCTCACCACTCTTCCTCCTAGTAAGCATGTTGTAGGTTGTAAATGGGTGTATACTGTTAAATATTTACTAGATGGTAGTGTGGAATGGTTGAAGGCTTAACCGGTTGTTGAAGGTTATTCTCAGTTATATGGGGTGGATTATATGGAAACCTTCTCCCATGTGGCTAAGATTGGTTCAGTTCGTGTCTTGATTTCCTTGACAGTTATGTTTGATTGGCCTTTGTCTCAGCTTGACATTAAAAACACCTTCCCCTGTGGTGACCTTTTGGAGGAGGTCTATATGGAACAACCACCAGGGTTTGTTGCTCAGGGGGAGGATGGTAAAGTGTGTAGGCTCAAGAAGTCAATTTATGGGCTGAAACAGTCTCCTCGTGCTTGGTTTGGGAAGTTTAGTGAAGTGGTGAAAATTTTTGGAATGAAACAATGTCAAGTCCACCACTGAGTGTTCAACTATGATTTTGAAGCCGGAAAGATTTTATTAGTGGTTTATGTGGATGATATATAACTGGTAGTGACAGATTAGGGATTGACAGACTAAAGGCCTTTCTGCGAGAACATTTCCAAACAAAAGATCTTGGGAAGTACTTCTTGGGTATAGAAGTTGCCAGGTCAAAACAAGGTATAAATTTGTGCCAAAGAAAATATGTTCTTGATCTAATAGAAGAAACGGGATTGTTAGGTGCGAAACCAGCTAAAAATCCATGGAACCAAATGCTAAGTTAAGCAGTGATGCAGGTGAAATGTTTGAAGATCCTAGAAGATATAGACGGTTAGTGGGGAAGCTAAACTACCTAACCATTACCAGACCAAACATCTCCTTTGTTGTTAGTGTGGTGAGCCAATTTATGCAAAACCCCCCAAGTACCTCACTGGGATGCAGTTCTTAGAATTGTACGGTACTTGAAGAGAGCTCCAGGTCGCGGGTTGTTGTACAAACCAGGGGGAAGACTTGAGATAGTTGGGTATATAGATGCAGATTGGGCATGCTCAGTGTCTAAAAGGAGATCCACTACAGGTTATTACACATTTCTTGGAGAAAACTTGATGACGTGGAAGAGTAAGAAGTAAACTGTTGTGGCAAGGAGTAGTGATGAAGCTGAAAACAAGGACATGGCACACACCACATGTGAATTAGTATGACTAAAATATCTTCTGCAAGAAGTTGGATTCTCAATGAGCAAAGCTATGAGATTGTACTATGACAACCAAGCTGCAATCCACATATCATCTATTCCGGTTTTCCATGAAAGGACAAAACACGTAGAGGTTGATTGCCATTTTGTGAGGGAAAAAGTCCTTGGTGGAGAGATAAGAACAAAACATGTGAGTTCAGGTGATCAATGGGCAGACTTATTCACAAAAGGTTTGAGTTCAAGGGGAGTGAACCATATATGTAACAAGCTGGGATTATGACATATATTATCCAGCTTGAGGGGGAGTGTTAGAGTTGATCGAGTAAGGATAACTTAGTCTTTTCATTATAGTTTAGGTAGTGTAGTGATGTGGCAATTCTGTTTTGTTTGTTTATTTTTCTTGTCCCATACTTAAGTTATTTGACTTTGCACCCTTATTTTAATATAATAGAGATTATGGTCAACTAGGAGGGTTTAGACTCTCTAGTTCAACAGCTTTCTCTTTCTCTTTCTCTTTGAACAGGACTTGGGGGTTTGGAGAGATACCCCACTGGATAGCCCATTTTCCTATTTTTGAAAAAAAAAAAAAAAAATTGTCGCTTGACTGGGTTTTCAGTAATAACCAGTTTCAGATGTTGGGATCTACTCAGCATCTCGTATATGTTCATCTGAGTGGTAGATAGACCTCGACTTTGGATATGTGATGGTTCTATAAGTCTTCCAAGTGCTACCTATGTTTATACAATATACACTTAGAACAACCATAGAAAAGCATCATCTGATAAATGGATAGAAGCTAGTTTCTGCTTCTGCAACTGAAAATAAGTGACCTTTTTCTGAGAGCGAGCGAGCGAGCGAGAAAGAGAGAGAGAGAGAGAGAGAGAGAAGAGACTAAACTAAACTGATCATACCAGTGGGGACCACTAGAACATGGACCAAGGGACCAAGCCAAGGGAGTTTACTGTTATTTTTTATTTAAATTAAGAGGGATCAAATAAGGTCCAAGAGATGTCTCTGTGGAGATTAGGTCAGTTTACGAAATTCATAGAATTACAGATTTTGGGGCTATTTCAGCATTTGAACGTAAGGTCCAGTCCACTAGAGTGTAAGCTTTAAAGGTACAAATAGGAGTTTTACATTTGTCTTCTGTTTTGTAGGGCCTTTGAGAATTTTATATGTAGAGATGTGAATAATGACATGAAAAGCAATTTTGGCATTGAATTCTATTTTCTTCTTAGAGAGAAACTTCTATGATCTTGTAAGATTTGAGCAACCCTAAGTCAATTATCTATTTTAGTTTTTTTCTCCTCTTCTTGCTGCTTGACCAGTTGTAGCTGCTACTACTTTCTTTTGTTTTAATTCTTCTGTGGTTTTCCCAATGTTATTAAGACAGGAGGAAAAAGCATATGACAAATGAAAAACAAAATTCTAAATTCTAAAGAAACAATAAAGCTAGACATTGATAGTCTAGCTTACACCCCAAATGTAACCTAAAAAACTAAATTGAGCTTCCTTCTTGGTTTTGTTGGTGTTGTTTCTAAGGACTATGGTTTATGGAATGGTTGGTTTTGTAGTTGGTGAGATTCTTGGGATTTCTAGTTGGAATTTCTGCAATCTGTCTGAATAGGTCTAAGAGTACTCCGCCCTATATCTTTGTATGGATTATTATTCTTTAGATGTCACCCTTTGTTGTTCTCTTCCCTTTTGCTTTTTTCCTTTTTGCATCTTCTAACCTTTCTCGATGGTTAACAAAAATGTAAAATGATTCTACCAAAAAAACAAATACTGCATACACATCCTAACCAACAAGTTTGCAGGTTCAGTGACCTGGTCAGGACCCACCTTAAGGCCAGGCAGCCCAATCCCCCCCCCCCCACCAAATAAAAACACACCAAAAAATGTTAAGCCCAGGCCAGAATTGGTAGGTTTAATCAATGTTTTAAAATATGGGACATGACATGAGGCATAGTTCAGAATGCAAGAGGCGTAGGAGGAGGAGGAAGAAGAAGAAGAAGAAGAAGAAGAAGAATGAAGATGCATAATGCTATCTGAAAGGGAGGTTCTATTGAAGCAGAGGTGAGCAAGTGAATTTCTTTCCCTTTCTTTCTTTACTTTCTTTCTGTATGAACTATGAAGCGTGCATGAAGCACACCAGAGACATACACCACATGCAAAAGGCATTTGAGGCATACGCCTCAGAGGCATCAATGCCTCTTAGCATACGCCTCAAGGCATTTTGAGGGTGCCTCACCTGGAGGCACACCTTTTAAAACATTGTCTTAGTGTAACCACTTATTTATGTAAACAAAATGTCAGCTTCTTTATCAAGGACAAAATCATATATTCTCCAAAAGAAATTAAGTACGCTTTTTCAGTTGTCTAATCATCACCATCATCATCCAAGCCTTATCTCAACTATATGGGATCGGCTACAAGAATCCTGTTTCGCCAATCCACTCTATTTAAAATCATATCCACCATTAAATTATTAGTGCTTAAATCATTTCTTACTACATTTACCCATGTCCTCTTTGGCCTACCCCTAGCTCTTCTAGCCCGTTCCACTTGTAACTTTCAGTTGTCTATGAAATCTATCAAATAACAAAGTTGACATGTAGAAATTTGACAAATTTGAACCCCACTTAAATAGAAGGTTATTCATTCAAAAAAACAAACTTTAGACCAGTTATGAGAACCCACTCATTCTCAATAACAAATACTCAATTTAAAAGTTAAAAAAAAAATTGAAACCTTCACAACAATTAAAAGATGATGAATAACAAAAAGAAAAAAACATGTGGTGAGAGACATTATCAGCATTACTGTGGAATTGTCACATTTCTATACATTATGTACACATGCAACACTATAAACTGGTAATAATTATCAATTATTTGCTTTGTATGTGAATCATATCATGCATGCTAAGTAACTAATGCTCTTACCATGAGAAGGTTGACTGAAGATGCCTCCAAATGTTTATTTCCAACATCTTTCCTGGCAAGACAATCCAGAATACAATGTATATGGTCCGAGCTAAATATATTATGCAAGCATTTTGCAGAGAGCATTCTCAAGAATTCATTATGCAACTGTTTATCACCCATCAATTTGAGAAACTTATCCTGAAAAGCAAGTTAGTAGCATCATTAGAAATTGACACAAACAATTGGCAGTGAGGGGAGGAAGAGAGTGAGAGAAGGGTTCTTAAATTTCTATGGACCAGGAATAAGCAAGATAAATCTCAGTGTCAATACATACAAAAAGATGATACTACAAAAGGTTTATAATCCTATTATCCTATTTAAAAAGATCATATTAACCATATCAAGAACACAACCTCCAGAAGTGAGATTGCTTGTGTAGGAGAAATAGCACTCAATCACAGCCACAGAAAAAAAGGAGCATGTATGCAAAACAATTTTTATGATTGGTGGCTCTTTGTGGAGCTTCAAAATGGCTTCAAGGGGCCTTTGACTACAGCCTAAAGTTGGGCCTTAATTGACCATTGTTGGGGCACAGAAGTCAAAGTTCAGAGTGTCAGGGATAAGTCGTACAAGAGATAAAACAGATTTCATGGGTGTGTCTAATGATGACTAGCTCATGTCATTGCTTTAGTAAGGAGGTCGGCTAGTGGAGTCCAGAAGAGAAATTTGGAAAAGTTGCGTGGCCAGCAATGTATTGATCTCTAATAAAATGACAATTAGCTTCTATGTGCTTGGTCAACTCACGGAAAAACTGGATTTGTAGCAATCTTTATTGCACTCAAATTGTCAGCAAAGAGGGGCACCGGAGATAGATGATCTATTCCCAACTCCTGAAGTAAGGCCTTAAGCCATATAATTTCATGGCAAACAGAAAGTATGGCTTGATACTCAGCTTCAGTAGAGGATTTGGAAACAGTTTATTGTTTCTTGCACATCAAGGAAAGAATGAATCACCAAATAACACACCACAATCTATCAAAGAAAACCAAGAGAAAGAGAAGAATGAAGAGAAGAGAAGAAGAAAAGACAGAAATTAGAAGAATAACGTCTTATGTCAGTGGCAGATACCTCTGATCCTTTTATATTAAAATATTGAATACTATAGAGAGGTCCCTGAGAATAAGAAAATTAAAGGAAAGCCCCTACACCTAAAACATACAATAAAACCCACCTTACAACACTCGCCCTCAAGTTGAGTTGTAGATATCGCCCTCAAGTTGAGTTGTAGATATCAAGCATACCCAACTTGTTACATAACTCTTCATGACGCTAGGAAGTCAGACCTTATGTAAAAACATCAGCCACTTGCTCCTTTCATTCAACAAACAGTATACAGATTTCACTCATTTCCACTCTTCACAGATGAAGTGTCAATCTCAATGTGTTTGGTTCGCTCATGGAGAACAGGATTGTGAGCAATGCTGATTGCCACCTTAATGTCATAATATAATGACATGGGACCTGAATTCCACAAACTACTCGAAAAGAAGATTTTTTAACCACAACAGTTCAGCAACTCCTTGAGACATAACCCTAAACTCAACTTCTGCACTTGACTTTGCTACCACAAACTGCTTCTTAATCCACCAAGAGACCAAATTTCCTCCTACAAAGGTGCAGTAACCAATGATAGACCATCTTTCATCGATAGAACTGGCCCAGTTAGCATCAGCATAGCCTTCCACATTGGTATGGTCATGTTTAGTAATGAAAAGACATCTACCCAAGTACCTTTTTAAGTAGGTAGAACCCTCTTGACGGCCTTGAAGTGAGAGGTGAGTGCATGTACTGAATCAGTACAATCACAGCAGTTATTTAAAAGGCGTGCCTAGGCGCACAGGCGAGGCGTATTTTAGGGTATGCGCCTCGCCTAGGTCCTAGGTGCAGCCCTTTCAAAAGGCACATGCCTTGCGCCTCAGCCCAGGCGTGCGCCTTTTGAAAATTTGATGCTTCTTTCTTTTTCTGAACATAGCGGTTGGGCCGGGGGCTCTGCCCCCGGTCCCCCGTGCCACGCCCACAGGAGCTCCAAGAACCCCCAATTTGGTAATGTTGTTCATTCATTCATCCTAATAAAATGTCTTCTTAAAAAGAAATTAAAACTATAAATCATTATTTTTTGTATGAAAACTAAGAATTTAAGACCTAACGTGGACTTGTTTGAGCTTGCCTCGAGGGGCGTGGCACAAAGGCGGCTCATAGAATCAGGAATGTAATATGTTTTACATTACATTAGCTACTTGAAGTAAAGCAATTGAGTGAAAAAAGACATTAGAGGTTTTACATGCTTGAAAATGTTTTATATATTTGATTTTATTTTTAAATTCTCATTTGAATATGCTTCACATCTTATGTTTATGTATTTTAATTTTAGATAATAGGTTTTTAAAACATTTATTTTAAAAATTTAAGTTTATATTTTTTATTAATGTTATGTTTAATAGTTTTTTATTTTTTTAATTTTTGGCATTTTTTTTTGAATTTTCTGACTTTTTATTATTTTTTTAGCATTTTTTTGTATTTTTGCGCCTTGCATCAAAAAGGCACGTGCCTCGCCTTGCGCCTCAAGTGCAAATTGACCCCTATGCCTTGCACTTTTAAAACACCGAATCACAGCAAACACAATGTTAGGTATAGTCATGGAAAGATATAAAAGCTTCCCAATAAGTCTATGATACTGATGAACATTTGAGACAGTCTCACCTTCACAGTTCCCAAGATTATGACTTGGATTTATAGGAGTTTTGGCTGCTTTATATCCCAATTTCCCAATGTCCTGCAACCAGTCAAAAATATATTTCCTTTGGGAAATAAAGATACCTTTGTCAGATTAAGCAACTTCAATGCCAAAGTATTTCGAAGGGCCAAGATCTTTAACTTCAAACTGTAAGACAAGAAGCATAGTTGTTAAAGCGATGCCTAGGCGATTAGGCAGTTTCCTAGGTTCGCCTCTACCAGTCGACTATACAATTTATCATAAGGTGCCCACCCAGAGTACTAGGCAGGTGCCTATCTTTAATAAGTATTTTTTCAGCCCGCCCTCCACCCAAACTCTAGCATCCAAGTCCAAAGGACCAGACAAACCGAACTACCCAAACGCAAAAGTCCAGATTTTTTTCTTCTCTTCAATTTCAAATGCAAAAATAAGGGTTCCTCCCCCTTTGTTTTGATCCATTTATATTTTTTTCTCTTCATTCTTTTCTTTTTATTTTCTTATTCTTCTTTTCTTTCAAACCTCTTCATCTTCTTATTCGAACAAAAAACAAGGGCTTCATCCCCTGTTTTTCTTTAAATTTTTCTGTGAAAAAATAGGAGATCCACCCCCTGTTTTGTAAACAAAAGGCTGTAATCTGTATTAATTTCTTTACTAGCAAGTAGTAAAAATTAAGTAAATGGACAACGACTTGCTTGTGGGACTGGATCATAATCATTCCCCTCTATTCATTATGTTTTCATGTTTTTTTCTTGCATGTATTCTGTTTGTCCAATGAATTTGCACTTATATTATATGTTGTTTAATTTAGGTTCCTAAATAAATGAGTTGGTATTGCCATTTTTTTGTTATTGTTTTATTCATTGCTTGATTTGGTTCCTACGTAGTTCCTATTAAATGCCTAAATATCAAACTTTCAATCAAGGTATGTGTTTGATTCCTTTAGACCTTGAGGGTTTGATTGGTTGAATTTAATTATTATTGGATAATTTGGACATTTTATTCTTTGTTCATTTGTTGTAAATTTTTAATGTTTCTCCTATTTGTTTAATTTATTAGGGACTTTTCTTTTTTGTTTTGTTAAAGGCAAAGCTATGAGAGAAGGGATGGCACTCAAGGAGGACAATACTCAACATTCACCTCAAAGGTATGAATATGTGAACTTAAAATAATTATAGTACTTATTAGTTTATTCTTTTAGTGTAGTTGGTTTTGACTCCTTTTTATTGAAAATAATATATTTAAATGTTGAACATGAATACATGATAAATTGATAATAATTTATGCTTTAATATTTTTATATAAAATTTAAACGCATTTGAATGATTCTAGTGTTAATAGTTAGTGTACATGCTTTCTAGTTAGGATAGAAAACCAATGAAGTAGTTTTAAAATGTGTAGGAAAAGTAAAAATTTAATAAAACTAATATGTTCAAATTCCATCACCTAGGTGTCACCTAGGCACTTGGGTGCCCTGTGGCTTTTGCCTAGCCTTGCTTAGACACAGTTGTCAAGGGGAGCGCCAGGTGACAAGGCACCCTTGTCGCTTGCCTCACCTAATTTCCAAGTAGTTTTGTATGTCTTTTTTTTCAAGGATAAAGAAAAAATCATTAAAATAAAAAGGAAATGAAATACATTAGAGGTGAAAAGATATCACCAAAGAGCAATCACACCCTCATACACCCAAAATGGCCGAAAATCGCACAGCTTACAAACATAAAAACCCAACCAAATCTGAGCACAATACCCTGAACATACCCAAAACAGATCCCCATTGAAACAAGGACCACCGGCCCATTAACTGACCCAAATCAAAAACCCTCCCTTGCTTCCTTCCGGATGGACTTTTTTCTTCAGTTTCTCTTCCTTTTTCCTTTTTTTCAAATTCCTCAAAGGCCCTCCTAGCAAACCCCTTACCCCCCAAGAAAAACAGATCCAAACTTTTCCCAATCATAACCTCTCTCTCCACTAATTTCTGGGGAACAACACCACCTGAATCTTCATCAGTAATATCACTACTCTACGGCAACCTGTTTGCACCATAGTCATGCCCGACCCCACTCAGCTTGCTTTCCTGGTGTTCATCTGAAGAGGGACCAAAGACTGAACTTGCTCCATTGCCTCCCTTTGATCAGTACCAAATGTCCCATTGCCTCTCACTCTTTTCCTCCTGTACACCCATTTGTATTTTTTGTAGGTCCTGCCCCCACCAAGCCCATTTTTAGCCTTGAGAAAATCTCCGTCACATTTACGATGTTATGGTTTCTCAGACTACGTAATTTCTTGTAGACTATCCTGTTAGTTTGTTCCTCCTCCTCAATTTTGCTCCCTTGGCCCAAATCAACACCCAACCTTCCACCCTTTACCTCCTCGTAAAGCCAGCAGTCCTCTACAAAGTTTTCACCCTGTCCTTCAGGGGATTCTCCACCAGCTGAAACTTCCTTTCCTGTAACCTCACCTTCATTTTCCAGCTCACCATCAGCACTAACATTCCTTTTCTGAACGGCCTCCTCCCCCCCTTTCAGCCTCTCTAATTCCACATAGACAAGCTTTCCTGGTGTCGTTGAATCTAATTTTCCAGCCTCACACCGAATATACCCCGGGCTTGGAGGAACCACTAATCCCATCAAGATCCCTACCGACCTAAGAAAAATGTCCGGCATCACTAGTCACGGAAGGATATGTGTAGTCGACGAAAGTCGCTCCTGTTCCACCTACTATCCTCTTCCTACCATTTTTGTCAAACTCGGTGATCACCCAAATCCATCTTCCTCCTTTTCTTTCCTTGACCATAGTCGAGATTCTCCTTGTTATTCCACTCCTTTTAAAATTTGGTCTATTAAGCCTCGGATACTTTCTCTTGCCGACTCTCCTTCTCCTGAACTAATTTTCCTTCCTGCCATTGTGTTCTTCGGTGTTGCAAACTTGAACTTCGAAATTTCTTTTGGGCGAGACAAGTTATGTTGTGTTATAGAATACTTTTATATTCTTAATTTTCGAGATTATAATTATAAAATAGGTATTATTTAACTAAAATATTCATCTTTTGTGTTTATATACTAATTTCTTTTTACTATTTTCTAATTTGTTAGGGTTTAGTCAACACAGACATTGCTTGTATTTTTTTTAATCAATAATTGTTGTATTGAACCCCCAAAGACTTCAAAACCTGAACCAATAAGGAAGAAGTTAAAATTTTGTCTAATCAACACATTTTCTTCTTTCACATCTTCTTCTTCTTATTTTTCTTCCACCTTTTCTTTTCTTCTTTTTCTTATAACAAAAATAGGAGTTCAACTCCTACATCTTTTGAACTTTCTTTTCTTCCTTCTTTTTCTTCTCATGAATATGCCGATTTTCTATACTTTAACATGAAGTTTATATTTTTCTTATGAAAATTATGGATAATTATTAAGAAAATATGGTTACAGAACCTAGGGAACTACCCCAGGATATATGTTTTTCACTTAAAAAATCCATCACCTTGGCAACATCTAGGTACCCGCCTAGGCAACTAGGCGAGAAGGCACCCCCTATTGCCTAGCCTCATATATTTTATATTATCTATATTATAAACATATATTTATAATATATAATATATTATTTACTATTTATAATATAATATATTATATAGTATTTACATTATTTATTTATAATTTATATTATAAATATCAGAAAAACAAAAAACCAAAGACATGAACCAATCAACCAGTTAACTGATTGGTTTTGGTTCAGTTTCATTCATGGTTTTCCAAAAACCAGTGCTACCAGTTCAGTTCAGAAAATAAKCCCATGGTTCGGTTAAACAAACTATGAGCACCCCTACTATTTTATATCTGGAAAGAGGTGGGGTCATCAAGGTCTTTTGTGGTGGCTCACCCCCACCCCTTTTGTGTTTTCTTGTGTATTCGTTTTTCCCCTCTTGTATTTGTTACCTCTTCTCAAGAGTTGGTCAATTTCACCATTAATGGACAGAGAAGACGGGCAAACAATGGAAATTTCAATGACAAATACAATACAAAACCTGTGTAAAGGGGTGGGGTCATTGAGATCTTTTGTGTTGGCACCCCATCCATCATTTTTATGTCTTTCTACTCTTGTATTTGTCAACCTTTCCCAATAGTGAATAAATATCACTACTTACTAAATGAGAGAGAGAGAGAACCATACAAGGGAAATTTGATTGATAAATACAATTATTAAGTTCCAGATATGATCCCAAATAATCCAATCCAGATATGAAATTTCAATGAGCATAAAGAGAGCACAAATGCATTCAAATACCAACTCACTATAGTGAATTTTGCAGTTATAATTGATCCTCCATCCAACAACTGCTGCAATGATGTAAAAATGTTATTGTCTTTCACTGTGTGCAGTTTTTGAAAGCATTCTTCTGCTTTAGTTGGATCAGCAAAGGATGCAGACATTTTCACAAATGAGTTTCTAATTCTCTTTTGCATTTCTTCCAAATCATTCTCCTGAAACATCCATTAATGCATGCTGTCAAATTAATATACATATAAGAAATACATAGATTACATGGATATGCATTTATTCATATCAAATCTACCTCTATCATATGCATAAGTACCCTTCCAACAAGATACAAAGGAACACTACAAGAAAGGGGTTGCAATGCTGCTCAACTTAGACAATATGAACACATAAGAAATGTTTAATGCATACCCAAAACAAAGCCCTCATGGGATGTATAAAACCATGATGAAAATAACTCAGAATTCAAGAACAAGACCAAAAGAATAAATTCCTTATATGAAGTCCATACCATAAATGGTTATCCCTATTAAGCAGAGGCTTTAGGAAATAAATTCATGCATATATAATATTTCAGACAGAAAATGCATTCTTCAGCATTTCTTTGTCTACCTTCTACCAATTGGAAAAGCACTATGATATACCTTTTCTTGTTTTCGGAGGGTCAAATAAACTTGCATCTCCATCTGCAACCTGGAATGAGGAAATAAATATGCATGAAGAAAAAAAACTTTGCACAACTATTTAGAGCCCCAGTTGAGTATCAATACCTCCTCTTCTGAGACAAAATGGAGTTTAATGCCTTTATATGAGGAGGTGCAAAATGTGAGAACAAAGAGATCCAATGTCTTGTCCTCTCCTCAATGGAAAGGGAAGCCGGAAATAGATCCTCAGCAAGCACAAGCTCCATGCTTTGAGGCCTGAGAAAATTGTTAAAACAAATTGTGACTCCAACTACAAGAATGTCAGTAGGTTTAAGCAAGAACTAAAATACTGATACAATACACCCCATATAGGTTTAACCAAGGATTAAAATATCAATACAATACGCCTGATACGGGGTGTATCGTATAGGTGTTGGTGTACCTAGATGTGCTTGGATACACCGATACAAAGGTTTTTTAAAAACTTTAAAACATTAAAGAATGATGGGTGGGACCCTCTAATACATATAAAAGAAAAAAGAAAAAAAAAAGAAAAAACAAGGAGCATCGGCCATATTTTAATCCTTGGATTTAACCAGACAAAATGTGTAGACAACCATACCGGAACTCCTTACAATCTTTATCATAGCAGAGCATCAAAACTTTGCATGGAATCTGTTCAAAGTGTTCACTGAGTGTGAAGAGACCTTCTGAACACTTGCTACAGTAATACCGATAAAGTTCTAGCAACTTCTGCATGGCAATCTTTCTAACAGAAACCTAATGGCAAAAGAGATAACTTGAAATCAATACAAAAATTCCAATTAACAACCTAGAGAAGAAATGGTTAGGAGACCAAATTCACCTTCTTGTCCCTAAGTCTCTCTGCAGCCCGTGAAATAAGCTCAGTAGGAATGAGTTTCAGGTTTGATTTCGCCATATCACAGACTACAATAACTGCCTGAATCCTCACTTTATCATCAAAATCCAATAGTCGTCCTTCAAGGGCAGCTGCAACAAGTCACAACATGTGAAGCATGTTTTAGAAATGCCTCCCTCATTTAATTGCACCAGAAAAAAGCAAAGTTAGTGCCCGATTGCTTACTGAGGACTTCAAGTGATTCTGTCCCAGAGGAATTAGCCATGTAGCAAGCTTTAGCACATTGTAGGGCAGCAATTCTAACTTCAGAAGACTTGTCAGAAAATCTTTTCAAAAACTCAAAAAAGAGTTGACGATATTGTTGTGCAACATGATGCTCAGGCAGTGCAAAAAGCTTTCCAAGCAAATTGACAGATTTTATACGGACATCAACCTGATCAGTCTGCCAATAAACCACAGTCACTAAAGGAACTGGCAATAAAAGAAACAACTAAAGACACGCATTTCAGAACAAAATTTCTGCAAAAGAATCAAGGGGGTGTTTGGTAAATGGTGTTGTGTTGCTGTTGCATTTTGGGTTGAAAACATTTTGAGTTGATCGATAAAATTGCTATTTCTACATAAAAGGTCAAATTTGATGTTTCTCACACACATTTTTTTATCTGAAGTAACACTCATGTATGGCATGGCAACACACATTTCTTACAAATTTGTATTGATCAACCCAAAACGCACAGCAATGCAACGCCACTGCACCAAACACCCCCAAGAAGAGTCCATTACATCCACTCTTACACTTTCTTAGAAAAATGGACCATATGTCGGTAAGTGATATTAGTTAATGGCTTCACCAAATATTAAAGAGTGACAACATACTAATAGTTCATGCGTCAAGTTTGGGATAACAGCAAGAAGCATCTGAGGAGCACATTGGAAAATTTCAAAGATAATTTCATGATAAAAATCTTTAAGATCACTCCCTACAGCATCTCTGTCCAGAATGCAAGATGTTAAGAAACCTCTAACAAAGGGCTCTAGCTTGTCAGTGCATTGTTGAATGACAGAAACAGCAAGCCTAAAGGAAGCAATAGGTGCAGCCTGCAAATAATAAACCTTCTTGTTAGAAAGCATCCTTGAATATAACATAGAGCAATCCTATTCATGATAGCATTAAGATACCCGCATTTCCTTGAAGTTGCACTTAAAGAAATATTAGTTAAATTGGTGGCAATTCAATATGAACTTGACCAAAGAAATGTAACATAACAAACAAACAGAAATAACCATAGAAGGAAAGAAAGCAGATTTATTAGAGTAAGAAAAACAAAACAGCAGCCATATATTGGCTAGTTAAGGTTAAAGTTATTTGGAAACTACAATCATAGAAGAATCAGACAAGAATATGGACTAAGAAAGTAATCCTTAATGAAGCACCATTGCAACTAAAAACTCTGATATATGCAAGGTGTTCCAACACCGATCATTGCTCCATCACACATGTCCGTGGTTACTCTATATATCTTCAAGGTAATCAATTTTCCCATACTTGTCAAGGCAACACCTAGGCAATAAGACACCCATGGAGGGTCACCTCACTTTAACACAGATATTTTGTACAGTGCACTATGAAATTTTTCTTATATTTTTTAGATTATAATAATAATATGCATATTATTAAATTAAAATATTCATTTTGTGAGTTTATATCCCTCTTCTTTTCCTAGGATAAAAACAGGGGTCAGCCCCTATATTTTCTGCATTTTCTTTTCTTCTTTTTTATTCCCACAAATATGTTATTTTCTTCTATATTTGAGTATGAAGGTTATACTTTTTTATGAAGATTATAGATAATTAATAGTGAAAGATGGCTGTCGATTGCTGCCCCCCTGTCACCTAGCCTCACCTTGATGGCTTGAAAAAGAAGAAAATAAAACAGCAATAAAAGGTGGACTAATCAAAAAAATGAGGAAGATCAGACCAAGAGAGAAGAGAAGGTGGAAGAAGAGAGAAATCGTAGCTCTCTCCAGTCCCCAAATCGTTATTTGATTCCTTTTACTAAAAAGAATGTTAATTTACAAAAAAAAAAAATACCCTTAGTAGGGCAGCAGCTTGGTAAATATAAAGACACGTAGCTAATAGGCACATATGAATAAGATACAATAATAAAACATAAATATAAAAAAGAAAGAATACAAAGAACAGGTGGTTGGCCCATTATCTCTACACTCCCCCTTAAGCTGAGTATAGATGTCAATCATGCTCATCTTGCTTACATACTGTTGTAACTTGGCCTTGGGAACTCCTTCAGTCTAAACATCAGCTAACTATTCTTCAGAGGCATTAAACGGTAGGCAAACATCTCCAGATGCAACTCTTTCCCGTATGAAATGTCTATCAACTTCAATATGTTTTTAAGGGTAAATAGAAATTTCATTAAACTAAAAAAGGAGTACATCTCATATCAGATGGTTGTCAATTTGACAAACCAAATACAAACTAGTGATCAAACTGAAAATGAATAATCATTACAAGGATGCAATTCAAGAGTACTCCAAAAGTTCTCCAACAAGATTTGTTCACTTATTCGAAATCTGGAAGCCTAAGGACCTAATCTGAAATCAGGTTGCCCACTGCTGCTACCAGATATTCAATGCTTTTCGACTTGTCCTCAAACACCTTTCTGGTTCTCTCTTTCCATATGGACCAGCATACTGCAGATGGAATACATCTCCATAGTATTCTATCTTTCTTACTTCCTTTGAGTTTTGACCACTTGGAATTGGAAAAGATCTTTGCTGGAGACAAAGATTGGAAGACACTCAATCCGAATAAGAAGGAGAAGAACTTCTGAATGAAGTTTGCTATACTGCATGAGAAGAACAAGTGAAGGACTGTTTCTTCCTCCATGTTGCATAAGTAACAGCAGCTTGCTAACTGCAATCCCCTAAACTTCAGGCGGTCAGTGGTAAGGGTTCTGTCATGTGCTACCAACCAAGTGAAGGATTCTACCCTTGGGGGTACTGGGTTACCCCAGACACCTTTTATCTGGTCTGACTCCATACCTTGACTTGTTAATGCATTGTAGAATGACTTCACAGAGAACCTTCCTTCTCTGCAATCTTTCCACCATAGGCCATCTTCAGTGGACCTAGAGATGCTGGTACCATCTAATTTTTACAGTAGTAAGATACATTCTTCCACTTCTTGGTCAAGTAAAGGTCTTCTGAATTTTGGATTCCAAATCAGCTGCTCCCCTCTCCACTCATAACACTGATCCATTGTGATTTGTTGTTCTGTCAGCCAGTATAATCTTCCCAAAACCTAACTCTAGAGCCATCTCCCACTTTGAGCCTGACCAAACTCCTAAATTCCTGATTAAAGCCCGTGATTCCTTTCCAAACACTTACCCCATAAGAACTTCTTACTTCCCTTGGTTCTTACCCAAGCCTTGTCACTCAATATTTTCCCACCACCACCCTCCTCCATAAAGCCTCCCTCTCTCTCTCTCTTGCCCAAATCTCCACAACCATTTCCCTAGCAGAGGAACTAGGTTGGTAAATTGAAAAGAATAGCCCTAATCAAAGTAATACGCCCTCCCAAAGAGATGTAGTTCTACTTCTCAACACCTAATAAAAACTCCTAGTCCACCCAATCATAAGCTTTTTCAAGGTCCAATTACAAAGAAAGTCCTTTTGCCTAGATCTCCTCAGCTCCTCCACATTCATTAGCAACCAAAATCTAATCAGTTATTTGTCTTCCATGTATGAAAGCACCTTGCGTTTGACTAATGAGAAAAGGGAGGACCTCTTTAATCCTCAAAGAAAGGACTTTGGCTATAATTTTTTAAATACTACTCACCAAAACGATTAGTTCAAAGCCTTTCGGGTGATTAGCATCAGACTCTTAGGGACTAAAGCCAAGAAAGTGACATTAAACTCCTGGGTTGACTATATGGTTATTTGAAAACTCCTTAAAGACATCACAAAGATCATCTTTCAGTACTTCCCAACAATTCTGATAAAAATCCATAGGCTTGGAGCCTTGGATCTATCCATTAAAAAAACTACCCGTTTAATCTTTTTTTTTATTCTGATCAATAACTGTGGATTGAATTAATATTAAAAATATGAGAAAATTACAGGGCAAGGGGGCTAAACAATCTTAGCTCCCAAGAACAACCATTAAGCATCAAAAGAAAAAAAATTACAAGACAACCCAAAAAATAGAATGTCTGTTCACCCCTTGTCTAGCTAGACCATCTGCCAAAAAGTTCGGACTTCTTTTTACCCACTTGTATTGGATTTCCTCTTTTCATTACTGTAATTCCAAAGTCTAAGACTATCCTCTTTCAACCAGTTTACCACCACTTCAGAATCTCCTTCTATGATCAACTTGTTAATATGCATATCTTTGATTCTTTGTACCCCTTCAAGAGTTGCAAGAATCTCAGCTCTCAAAAAACCTCCCACCCCAACTGGTCCAGAATACATAGCCAACACCTTCCCTTGTTCATCTCTTATTACTCCTCCTATTCCGGATGGCCCTGGATTGCCCAAGCTGTTGTCATCAAAGTTCAGTTTAACAAAGTCATGGGGTGGGGGGATCCAACAAACATTTGAGGCCTTCCTCATTGGAACACGTTCTGCTATCACCTTCCACTTTCTTTGTAGTTCATCAACTGAGAATTCTGCGAACAAAGCCAAGGTTTTCAGCCAGTGTATAACCCTAATGTGGATGACCTCTAGCATTGCTTCCAAACTTCTCTCCTTATCTATAAATATTCGTGAATTTCTCTCCTTTCAAATAGTCCAACAGACTACAGCCCTCATACACCTCCACATAAACTTGGCCCTTTTTGTTGGCCGAAACGGCATACACGTGAATAGGCTTTGTACATTCGAAGGGAAGGTCCACCTGCACCCAGACAAAGAAGTACACCACTCTCAAATGATGTTAGTGAACCAATAGGAGATTAGTAAGTGATATCCAAACTCACCATCGGCTTTACAGAGGAGACACCAGTGAGGACAAAAACAACTATTGGGTCTTTCTCTTTGAAGTAAATCTATTGTGTTAACTCTTTCCAGAAAGGCTTCCCAACAGAAACTCCCAACCTTAGGAGGTATAGGATGACACCACACCTCTTTAACAGGGAAAGACAAGCCTATAGAAGAAGAATGTGTGAGAGCGCTAAAGAAAGAGGCACAAGTAAAAGAACCAGAGGGGGTGAGAGTCCAAATTCTACTATCTGCCTATGTTGGCTCTAGGAACACCCCTTCGAGAATGGATAACAATGATGAGATACCATCAAGCTCTGCGTCCCTGATTTCTCTTCACAAGCCCAAGTTCCAGTTGACCCCAGAAATAGAATTAGAAGGAACAATGAATGAAGACACCAGTTCATTTTTAAAAGTGGAAAGAGCAAAAAGGCTTAGGAATTGGTCTTTTAGGGAGGAATCCCCAATCCAAACATGTTCCCAAAAATTAATGAGATTGCTTGAGTGCAAGTCATACCTGATCCATGGAGAGAACAAAGGTAGAATAGCTTTCTAAGGAGATGCTCTTGTACTCCTTGCCAGAATCCCAGAGTCCCATCCATTTGTTGCAACCCCATAAATTCTTTCCTCTATCTTCACCTAAAGTTTGTCCTTCTCCAATGAGAACCTCCAAAGCCATTTCCCCAGAAGAGCCAAGTTCCTATTCCTTAAATTCCCGATACCCAAACCTCCCTCCCTCTTACTCCTACAAACCATCTCCCACCCCACCCTATGGGCCTTCTTCTCCTCCCCCGGCTCCCAGAGAAAGTCTCTCATTAGTTTTTCTCCTCCCCCGGCTCCCAGAGAAAGTCTCTCATTAGTTTTTCTCCTCCCCCGGCCCCCAAAACTGCCCGCTTAATCTATAGAGACTGATTTATGTTTCTTACATCTTCTTTCCTATTTTTGACTCTTGGGACCACTCTTTTATGTTGTAACTATTGAAGTTTGACCTGCCCTAGAATTTTGTCTTGTTCGTTGACTGTAAAGTAAAGTAAATAGCAAGAAGTAGGAGAAGAAAGAAGAAGAAAGAAAAGAGAGAAGGGCTGGTTCGAATTAGAGAAA